TTTATTGGCTCAATTTGCTACTAGAAACCAACGAAAGTCACTACTGTACACAATGTTCAGCTGACATAGACTCTCTTTCTTACTAATGTGCAAGTCCTGATGTAGGGAATAAATGCTACTGGGAGGAAAGAGAAAAACCTACCAGCCACTTGTCTGGCAAATATTTATTGAGCCCATTTATGCCATGTCAGGCTGTCAGTGCAGGCCAGTCTCTGTGCCTCTGGCCCTCACCTGGAGCACCCCTAGTCTTGTTGCAGCACCCCTGGGAAAGTCTGGGGCTGAACACTCGGGCCTACGGCTGGTGGGCTGTCCTGGCAGGGCCGGACATGGCCCCTGCTGGTCTGAGGCCCACCTGGGGGCACTGTTCTAGTGTGAGGACTGCCGTGTGTTGACCTAAGACCCCTCCCCAAGAGTCTCCACACCTGGCCTGCTCTTTCTCTGTGACCACTTCCTGCCTTAGGAAGCCAGATAGTTCACAAAACTTGATTTAAAGAACCTAAGGCTTAGTACTTTTAGCAAGTTTTGCCACTCACTCCAAGAAGTCATATCAGGAGCCCCTTTTTGAGGCTGACCAGTCAAACCTGCTCTATCACCTCTGGACACCTCAAACGCCCCTTCCTCAGGCTTTCCCTGACCCAAAACATCAGCGCCCATCCATCCTGAGCCCCCAGCCTTTTTGCATTTCTGTTCACAGCATTCACCTGCCTGTCACCCATGTCTAATTGCATGCTGGATGCTTCCTGCTAGCAGGTGAGCCCTGTATGAGGAGTGGCGGGAATGGTCCATTCTGTTCATCGCTGACTCCCTAGCCCTTCCCAGTGGGCACTAGGCTGTGCACTTTGAAGGAATGGGTGCAGGAATGAATGCATCAGGCAGACAGGGCCCCTGCCTTTGCTCCCAGCTGTCCTGAGCTGCAGTTCCGAGTCTGTTGACATTGAAGAAAGGAGGATCCAAGTCCTCATGAGCTGACTGAGCTGGCAAAGTCCATGCAGACTCTTTTATCTAGTGCCCGGTTTCAAAGGGTTGCAGCAACGGGTGTGGAAAGTGGGAAAACTGTGGTCCTGGGGCTCAGGGAGGGGTGGGCGGCAGCGGAGCCCAGCCCCCACCTGGACCTCCTGGTCATCTGCCCGCTTGGCCGTCAGGCATCGACTCAGAGTCCAGCTCCCCACTCCCTAAGCAGAGTCACATCTTGTCAACGTCCCCAACCTGCACCTGCTGCTGCCCTCTTGCCTTGTAGGCACTCACTTAGGTGTTCTCTCAAAATACTCTGAGCCCCAAGAAGGCAGAGGCCTGGGTCATTTGTGTTTGTGACTATGAGGCCCAGGACACGGAGGCTCGTCCTGCGCCTACAGGCTGGCTTTGTCCCTGGACAAGAGCGGGTGGCTAATGCCGGGAAGGCAGGATGGAGGGAAGGGAGGGGTTCTCACCAGGACGGTTTCTCCTGTGAGCATTGGTGACATGGGCGTCATTCATGGAGGCAGGGCAGAGCCTTGGTCTAACTCAGTGTCCCCGAATTTCTTGCCTCTGTGGCTCTGAGGACCTCTGGACAGCTCTGTGACAAAGCTGTCTTGGGCTGATGCACAGCCACCAGGCTGGGTGCCAAGCGGTCAGGGAGCTCAGTGGATGGACATGCCCTGGGTACCTGGCCATGGCCAGGCCCACACATCATGACACTCAGCTTGGGCTGACCCAGAACCCCAAGCGATCGCCCTGCTAGGTGGGGGGAGGCCAGGCCAGGGCTGGTTCCTGGAAAATCTCACCCCAAGGCCACCTCCCAACTTGAGCTAATAACATTAGGTCATTCGGTTTATGCCATAATGCCTCATGTCTCCCAGCTAACCCATTTTTAAAGTATGTTTTTTGGATTTTTCTTTTAAATACACAACCTTGTCAGCTCTTAGTTACAAGCTGAACAACACCCTGGAGATCACGGAACTGAGTCTTGGTTTCAAAAGAAATTATTAAAAGTTAAGAAAATCAAAGAATAGTTAAGGGTGGAAGTAAACACCAGAAGAATTTTTTTTTTAATTAATAGCATAATAAACTAAAATTGGATAATGAAGGGAAGTCGAAAAAGTGGCAGAGCTCAGAGAGGAGTGATCAGTTTTGTGTAAATGGAAGCTATGTCACCTCATGGAGCAATATCGTCGTGAGAGTGAGAATGAGGACAAACTTGGCAGTTTGGAAATAATCAGAAGGACACATGCACCCCCAACAAAGAAACACAGGACACAAACAGGCAGAAAATAGAAAGCACACAGAGAGCAGAAAGGCAGAGCTGAGACCAAGGAGCTCCGAGATTTGACCAGCCTGAATTAAGCACTGAGAAGTAAAACACAACCCCTGAAAAGGTGAACCACGAAACTCCTAGAAGGAAATATAGAAGAGTTAGAAGACTATGGAATAAGTGATTTTGGAGCGGAGAGGAGACGAGCAACCAAGGCACAAGAGGCCGTAAAGCAAACACTAGATACACTGTGTGGAGCTAGAAGGAATCATAGGTTCAAGAAGAAAAGACAAATACAATTTAAAAAGAACGACCAAGTGTGAAATACATTTGCATCATATACCACATTCAGAGGGTGTGCTTTCTTTATTTCCTATTTCATTATTACCTGTCAGTGAGGAAGCCCCTAGCAGGATGGGCCTGGGACAGAGACAGAAGCAGAGAAACCATCCCCTTGCACGGAGGAGGGTGGGCGGGGGCCGCAAACCCAGCACAACATTTACCCAGGGCAATGGGCAGCATCTGTCAGAACCTAAAAATGCTAATGCCACTTGCCTGACAGGTCCCCATGTCGGAGTGTTTCCTGTACCTGTCCGTATGTGTGTGTGGGTTTATGACAGCAAACATACAACACGATGGCATGTTTATCAGCCAGGGCTACATAAGTCATGGCAGAGCCGACCAAAGGTCGCCTCACTCCGCAGCCTGAAGAGCACGGAGCTCTGTTTTTGCTCAGAGAGAAAAGCCAAGTGTAGAATGGCGTCTCGAATAGACCGGTGCCTGTGTAAAAGTCACAGAGAGAAATTGTTTTGCATCTTCGTGCGTAAATGAGATACCAGGAACCTCTATAGCAGCTGAGGAGGGGATGCCTCTAATTTCTGAAACACCACCTAGTTAATCCCTTGTCGCAAGCACACTTCAGGGGGTGGGGCAGGCGTGATTATGCACCCAACGGTCATATGTTCTATGTCATATGTCCTCCCAATGCCAAACATCCTGCCACTTGTTAGGCAAGTATGACGCTACTCATAGGTGACCAAACGGATGTCTTGGTTTCTGGCTTACAGGATAAGGTCAGACAGAGAATGAATCTGTAAGAATCAAGGGCCTGCATTTCTATTACTGGCAGGCACAGGGGGAGCATACTCTGGCCTCCTGCGGATGCCCCAAGGCTCTGCACGCCCCCTCTCCTTCTCTTGACTTAGGTTTCCATGCATTTGGAAATCTTTAATCAGACAAGATTTGGGCAGGATTTGGAGATTGAGCAACGTTGTGGCAGCCGGGACTATTCCATGCAAGCTAGTGTATACTTGCCAGGAAAGAGAAATGGATTAGTCTATAGATGTCACAACTGCCACGTCACCCCAGCCAAGCCCAGCCCTCCCCGCTTACCCAGCGGGGATGGTGCTGGGCTCCAGTCTCAGCTGGGTGGTCCTGACGAGCTTGAGAAGCTTAGAAACGAGATTCTGGACAAATTGCAGACTCCAAGTGAGCCAGGTGTGGCTGGGTGTGTCTGCGGGAGCTGGAAGCCTCTGGCAGATCTGTGGGGGTGCAGGAAATACTCGTAATGTGAGTTCTGCAAACCTGCTCTGACATTTTACACATTGATGTTGCAAATCTGTCTGTCTGGATTCCTAAGTGTTTTTTTTTTTCTTTGCAAATTATTATTATTCGTAGATCATAAAGAATGCAAGCAGGTCTCCTCAATCTAACTCTGATGATTTTGGCTACTACAGAAAGAAATGTCAGTCTGAGAACCCAAATGCAGGATGTGGCCAGCTCACCTGAGCAGAGATGTTGGTCTGGAGACTTGAGAGTGGGATGAGTGAGGTGGGAGTGAGACAGAAAGCCTGTCCCCCATCCCACCTGCAGCTGTCCTATCGGAGCCTCCCAGGCGACAAAGGGCCAGCGTACGGTGCCTCACCCACTTACACCACGTAGGCAGCCTCATGGCCGAGGGAAAACTTTTCTTTTTTACTTTTTTAAAAAATTTAATTTATTTTATTTTATTTTAATTCAATTAATTAGCATATAGTGTATTATCAGTTTCAGAGGTAGAGTTCAGTGATTCATCAATTGCAAACAACACCCAGTGCTGGTTACATCCCATGCCCTCCTTAATGCCCATCACCCAGTTACCCCATCCGCCCACCCACCTCCCCTCCAGCAACCCTCAGTTTGTTTCCTATCGTTAAGAGTTTCTTATGGTTTGTCTCACTCTCTGTTTTGTCTTATTTCATTTTTTTCCCTCACTTCCCCTATGCTCATCTGTTTTGTTCCTTAAATTGCACATATGAGTGAAATCATATGATAATTATCTTTCTCTGACTGACTTATTTCATTTGGCATAATACCCTCTAGTTCCAACCACATCATTGTAAATGGCAAAATTTCATTTTTTGATGGCTGAGTAGTATTCCATTGTATATATTTACCACATCTTCTTTATCCATTCATTTGTCGTTGGACATCTGGGTTCTTTCTACAGTTTGGTTATTGTGGACATTGCTGCTATACACATTGGGGAGCAGGTACCCCTTCGGATCACTACATCTGTATCTTTGGGGTAAATACCTAGTAGTGCAATTGCTGGGTCATAGGGCAGTTCTATTTTTAACTTTTTGAGGAACCTCCGTACTGTTTTCCAGAGCGACTGCACCAGCTTGCATTCTTACCAGCAGTGTGAGAGGGTTCCCCTTTCTCCATATAAGGGAAAACTTTGCTTTTAAAAGGCAGAGTGAGGGAAGAATCAGTCTGCCTCCCTGGGCCTTCCTGTAGAATGAGGACCAGTGGCAGGGGGTTTACATTGATCCCAATCTCCCCTGGCTTCAACCTCAAACACCCTCCCTTCCCCAAACTAGGCATTCCTTCCATTTATCCTTTATTTAGCACCCCCATTGGGAATGTCCTGCTTCCTTCTCCGAGGGACAGACCTTGGCTCTGGGCAATTTTCTTCCCACTCTTAGAATCTGCTCAAGGCTTTCCCTGGAATTTTCGCTGGGCTATTCCTGCACATCCTCCTGTGCATTGGTTTTCCTGCCTGGGTATGGTATGGAAGGCTTGCTAGCAGAGTCAGCCCTCCCTGAGAGGCACTGTCAAATATCCAGGCAGCTGGTGGGCTGTGCTCTGCTCAGAATGATCTGTGTGGTCCCCCAGGTTGATACTGCCAGGTAGTGAGCAGAGGAATGGATGGCTTAGTGGCCTGGGCTTGCGAGCTGCCCATGACCTTGGACAGGGCCCTTGGGTACTTCTTCATTGTCTCCTCGTCCGTATCCTGCAAGCCAACCAGAGTAAGTTGAGAGTACCAAGGGGGAGCCACCAGTACAGCTTTCTTATTCCCATGGGCCCCAGATGTGGGCACCCCCTAGCCCAGTGCCATTGCTGCAGGCTTGGGGAGCAGGCACTGGCTGCATGGGCACAGTGTGGCTTGGACTCTGGGCTGGAGCATACAGTGTAGCTAGTCTCTAAAGAGGGCCCCCATAAAGCACACTGCCCAGGGTTTACCCCTTCTTGTGGTCCCCCCATATGGAATTGGGGTTGGGTTCTGACTCAGTGTAATCAGGAGAAAGTGGCAGAATGGATGCTCTGGAGGACAGGCAGCTTGGAGCACTGGCTCTTGGTACCCCAAGCCACTGTGCCAGAGGGTCCACAAGAGAGGCTCCGTCAGAGAGGCCGTGTGGGGAAGATGCACCCCTCCGAACCAGCCAGACCTGCAGATGGCTCCGCCCCCGCCCTGTTGACTTCTACTGAAGGGGACATCCTGGAGAGGGCCACAAGTGCCCCCCAGAGCCCAGCCACCCCGAACCCAGAGGCCTGGCAACTTGGCTGTGGTTCTAAACCACTTAGGTCTGGGGGGTTCTGTTAAAGAGGAAGAAATAATCCAAAGGGAGTCCAATGGCTGCATCCACCTCACCTCTGCTGCTTACTGGTTGTGCAGCCTCGGTCACTTAACCCTGTGAAGGCCCTGCATCAGAATAAATGCAAAATAGCTGCTGTTGTAATTCATGTCCCCTAATGAAAGGGCATTGGCATGAAGTTAGGAGCACTTCCATCCCCACAAACTGGCTTTCCCTTATATGAACCGGGGCTGGGAAGTTAGAAGTGCAGGGACCCCTCTTCTAAGGCCTTACCTGGAGCCTGAAGTGAAGGTGTCTTTTGAGTGAACCACATCTTTTCCCATCTCCTATGTGCAGGGAAGCATTTCCTTGTCGTTCTGGGGGAGGTCACAGCTTTTTAGTATATATCTACAGAACTGAATCACAATCTAAGAGGCATTTATACATCCATAGCTGTGGGCCCACAGTCAAGAGACCTGGTCTCCTTCCTCTCATACTGACACCTTCAGCCCATTCTGGGCCCAAGGGGAGGGGGGTCATGGCTCACCCAGGTAGGGTGAGCACGGGCCCAGGCCTGACTCACTGCCAATACAATGCATTTCTTTAGAAGGCAAGGCTTCCGTGTGGACTTTCTTTTTGTACTTACAGTTTTTATTTCTTCAAATTGTAATAAAACAAACATAACATAAAACCTACCACCTTAATCATACTTAAGTATACAGTTCAGTGTTAGGCAGTACCTCTGCTTTATTGTGAAATTAATACCTAAAACTTTCATCCTGCAAAACTGACCTTTTGTCCCCATTAAACAAACCCTCCCTCCCCTTCCCACCAGCTCCTGGAAACCACCATTCTAACTTCTGTCTCTGTGAATTGGACTGCTCTAGATACCGCACATAAGTCCAGTTAATACAGCATCTGTCTTTTCATGACTGGCTTGTTTCACTCAGCACAATGTCCTCAAGGTTCATTCCTGTTGCAGCAGGTGTCAGAGTTTCTTTGCTTTTTAAGGCCAAATAACATTCTATTGTATGTATAGACCATATTTTGTTTATTTACTCATCCCTCCATGGACATTTGGTTTGATTTTACCTTTTGGCTATTATGAATAGTGCTGCTGTGAACATGGATGTATAAATACCTCTTAGACTGTGATTCAGTTCTATAGATATATACTAAAAAGTGGAATAAATATAGTTAAAAGTGGAATTGTGGGCACATAGGGTAATTTCATTTTCACCTTTTGAGGAATTGTCATACTGTTTTGTATAGCAGCTGCACCATTTCACATTCCTACCAGCAGTGCACAAGTTCTAATTTCTCCATATCTTCTCCAGCATTGTTACATTTTTTTTAATAGTAGCCAACCTAATGGATGTGAGGTGATGTCTCGTAGTTTTGATTTTCATTTGCCTAATGATTGTGTTGCTGAGTGCCTTTTCATGTGCTTGTTGGCCATTTGTATGTCTTCCTTGGAGAGATGGCTATTCTCATCTTTTGCCCGTGTTTTAATGGTTTGTTGTTGTTATTGAGTCATAGGAGTTCTTTATATATTCTGGATATTAACCCCTTATCAGATATAAGATTTGCAAATATTTTCTCTCACCCCATAGTCTGCCTTTTCACTCTGTCAGTTGTGTCCTTTCACGTATAACTGTGTTTAATTTTGATGTAGTCCGATTTATCTGTGTTTACTTTTGTTACTTATGCTTTTGACATCATATTCAAGAAATCATGCCCCAATAGAATGTTTTGACATCATATTCAAGAAATCATGCCCCAATAGAATGTCATGAAGGCTTTCCCCTGTGTTTTCTTCTAAAAATTTTGTAGTTTTAGGTCTTTGATCCATTTGAAATTATGTTTATATATGGTGTGAAGTAAAGGGTCCGATTTCATTCCTTTGCATGTGGACACCCAGTTTTCCCAATACCATTTGTTGAAAAGACTGTCCTCTCCCCATTGAATGATCTTGGAACCCTTGCTGAAAATCACGTAACCATATGTATGAGGGTTGATTTCTGGGCTCTCTCTTCTATTCTGTTGGTCTACATGTCTATCTTTATGCCAGTACCATACCATTTTGATTACTGTAGCTTTGTAGTAGGTTTTAAAATCAGAAAGTGTGAGACCTCCAACTTTGTTCTTTTTCAGTTTGTTTTGGCTAACCAGAATCCCTTATTTCCTATGAAATTTAGGATGGATTTTTCTATTTCTGCAAAAAAAAAATGCCATCAGGATTTTGATGGGGATTGCATTGAATCTGTCGACCACTTTGGATTGTACTGACTTCTTAACAATATTGTATTTTGATCCACAAACACAAGATGTTTTTCTATTTCTGTCTTCTCTTATTTCTTTCAGTAGTATTTTGTAGTTTTCAGAGTATGTCTTTCACTTCCTTGGTTAATTATATTCCTAAGTATTTTATTCTTGTTGATGCCATTGTAAATTGAATTATTTCCTTGATTTCCCTTTTGGATAATATATTCTCTGTGGATGGGCCTGGGGATGGGCATGGAGAATGTGATCCGGCTATGTCCGTGAGATCTTAGAATCCTGCCTTTGTAGAGTTGGTAAAGCCCTACACAGCCTTGGTTTAGGGCTCAGACTTTGCCAGAGAAGAGACTCACACCCAGAAAGGTCAACTGCTCACAGAGTGCATCCACTGAACTGTGTCCCAAGGGCAGAGCCTTAGCCTCGGTTCTTTCCATACCCTTCCAACTAAGGGTACTGCAAACTTAATGTCCACACCCGCCAATGTCTGCTGACAAAGAATCTGCACTGGAGCAATGATGTCTGTGTAAAACAAATACAATAAATGGATTCTGGTGTTCCCTAAAACTTGGCCTCAGTTAGAATAAATTGAATTGCTAGATAAGCAGACATTTTAAAAAAGCCTTAGCTGAAATCACAGTGTGGCCCCATAGAAAAGACCTCCACCCACTACAACCCCAAAGATGATGATGGTCATGGACCTAGTGGCTTCACCTGGCACTCAGGCTGGGCTCTGAAGGGCCGTGCTTTTGCTGTCCTTGAAAGTGTTTGCACTTTTCACACTGCCTGTGTTCTCAGAGGCCTTATCTCCAGGACACCCACTCTCTATTGTCATGTCCCCACTTCTCTAAACTTTGCAGCCCCACACGGAAGCCTCCAAGGGCAGGCTGTGTGGGCATGCAGCCTGTTGAGTCCCTGCCACCAGAGGCCTCATCTGTGACCACACTTCTGGAGCTAAGCCAGTGACCTGGCTCCACCCATGACCTTCCCACTGACTTCTCACTTCCTGGAATTATCAGGAAAATCCCCATGGAAATTTGAGGACAGCTGGGTCCCTTGGCACCGCTGCTGTGTGCTGAGAAAAGGGAGAGGCCTGGCCTGACTGCAGGGCTCTGTGACCCCGGAACCCCACCACTCGTAGGGGCCTGGGAGGAGGGGCCTACGTTCTGTCTTCTTCAGGTGCTTGTGGTTCCCAGACTGTGGAAGTGAGCCCAGGCCCTGCTGATATAGACAGTTGTCCTGTTCTTGGCCCCCAGGCCTCCAAAGAGGAACCTTTAGGGTGAGGACCTAACACCTCATTAGAAAACCCACCCACCTTTTCAATATGAAACCTAGCAATGAAGGAAGGAAGGATAAAGGGAATATTAAAAGTCAGTTCCTTTCAGCTCTCATTATGTGCCTGATGCCGTGCAAAGGACAACATTCTATGGTCTCACTGAATTATAATGACAATCTATGAGATTGCTATTACTATGACCCTCATTTTACAGATGAGGAACTGTAAGGGACAAGGCAGCTGCACATTTGGCACCAGCCTCACGCTCTCCAAGTCCTTGTCATTCATATGACAAGCCCTGCCCCCTGAGTTGGGGCTAATGGCAGCACGGGAAGCAGTGAGGGACTCCCCCCCACCAACCGCCTTGGTTCAGCTGCCCCTCTAATGCCTGCCAGGCCTGAGGCTCCCCTTTAGAGGACCTAGAGCCAGCCCTCCTCAGGATTCCTGCCCCAGCTTCGCCCTTCCCCCTCCCCCGGGAATGGGATCCAGAGGGTTCCAGACCAGGTCCACACTCAAAACATGCGTACAGCTCCCCACAGTCTCAGAGCTGCTGTTTACTCATGCTTTGAAAGAAAAGTTTTCTGATCCTCTTGGAAAATGGGTTAGGAAGCACTTTTACTGGCAACTGGGGACTAGTCTTTCTTTTCCTGGAAATACATGGTGGGTGCTTGATACGTGCTGTCCCTGAGGCAAAGTGCAAATGGGGGCAGGAAGGATGAACTGTGGCCTTAGCCCTGAGTCCCTGTCTAGAGCCCTGCTTCTGCTATTGCTGGAGGAATGATGCCCCAACTGACTCCAGGCCTGTCCCTCCCCTGGGAGCCAAGCAAGGACCCGAGCAGCATCCCGAGGAATGAATGGGAGGACTATGTCTCAGGCTAGACTCAGTTGCGTGGTCCAGGTGCAGTACACCCATCATGCATGAGCTCTGTATGAGTTCACCGGGACCCAACTTCCAGGCAGAATCAATCTGCACTGAACTGAGGCTGACTTGATGTATGGGCTGTTTCTCTTGGGTGTGGACAAAGAAGATAAGAGCCAGGAAATTAAATAGTGCATGATCCACAGAACCAGAAAATAAACAGTCATTGTGCTGACAATATAATGACAAGAAGCAGGGACTTACCGACAAAAGGGAAGGGCCATGGTAGCATTATCTGTGCTCGCCTAAAAGGGCAGTCGGTCACTTGTCAGCTCCTGGTGATTCTCAGAAGGCCTGACCTGTCCTTTCACATGTTGAAGGAATTGTTGGCCGTGTTGAGATTCTCAGATTATCAGAAGACTCCTCAGGGATAAGGTCAATTTAAGCTCAAGGACGCCATGTTGGTCTGATAAATATGACAACTGCGCACTGTAGCAGATACACGCAATGCTTGTGTGGCTGAATCGTTCAATTATGGAAGAAATTACCAATCTGTGGAGAAGGAGAAAATTGGGCTATTCTCTAGTGTGCTTTAGGAATGCCTAAAAGAGTTCACTGCACCACCCTGCAATAGCATAAACGCTGGATGCTCGCCTCTCCATGCTGGTCAGAATGCCAAACATCTGGATTAAGACTGGGGAATCAGTCCAAGCACTTGCAGATGGCTCTGGTTATCCCCAGCGAGCCAAGCCACAAACACACCACACGGGACACTCAACTCACGATCTGTTGATTGAATGGATGGCATGAACTGTGAAGACCAGGGTTCCCCAAACTGCATTTCTTGGAACACCATGGTCCTATAGGACATTAATGGTGTTACTTTTTTGAAAGTTTTCATCATAAGAAAAAAAAATTGTAAGTTTTTAGGAAGATGATGGTATAACTAGATTTAGCGAGGTGATCACTGAACAAGGTATACAAATATTGAATCATTGTGTTGTATACCTGAAACTAATATAATGCTATGTGTCAATTAAACTTCAGTTTTTAAAAAGTGTTATTTTAAAAAAGGAAAAGATTCCATGGTCATTGAGTTTGGAAAACACTACTTTAATGTGAAACAGTTGTCTTGATTTAGGGATTGTTAGTGACTTTAATATGATAATGTGTGTTTAATCAGCCAGTTGAGCATGCAACTACACGCAAGTTTTTTTGACAAAATACTGAAACTTTTAATTTTTTTTTAATGGAATATCTATTGACTTACCGTGGGAAATACATGATTCAAGGACAATGTCTTGCCCAATCCTGCTGGAAAAGTGAAAGAAAGCTATGTCACACTTAGTTGTACTGTTTGTAGGCCTGGTTTATTTTGTTGTATTCAAACCCTTGTCAAGGAAAGGAAATTTTGTCAGGATTCACATATTCTGACTTCTCTAACACCATTGCATGTTGCTCAGAAAACCAAGCCAGGCCTACATTTTCCACACCTACGATGTGGAAAGTCTGGAATGTTGGGCCACCTGAAGATGGTCCTCTGGATTTTGTCCCCCATACTTCTGCTTTTCTGGGGCTGTGGGGAAAGTGTGCCATAGGAAGTTGAAAACACCAAAGAATCAAAAGGACCTAATAAGCCGTGTGGAAGTTTTGGCAAACCATTTTGCCTTCCTAGTTCTTTTTAGTTCTGCTGATAACAACGTTTTCCTTCCCCTGCGTGCGAGCTGGAGTTCCTCATTACCTGATGGGTGAGCAGCTGGATCCCACATCAGCACTCATTCTATCAGTCCGGGCCGGGTGCTGGCTGGGGTGAGTTTGACTCACAGAGCAACTGTGTCTCAGGCTGGGACCCCCCCCAAGCAGCCCCTGAGATAAGATTGCTTGGGAGTTGAACCCCAGAAGTATCTGTTGGGAAGCCAAGGGATGAGTTGGGGGCGTAAGGAAGCTCAGACAGCTGCTTCCATGAGCAGAGCACCCATGGGGTGGTGTTGCACGCCTCAGTGCTGTTGCCGTGACAATGTTGGGATATTAGTCCCCAGGCCTTCATCTGTCACTGGCTTGGGCTGCCTGCCGGGGATGTTAGCCTCACGGAGCCCAGAACACTACGGGTAAAGAGTGCTGGGGGCTGTGGATGGGGCCCAGATCAGGGCACTGACACTCATCATCTCCATCATTTTTAGGTCAGAGCTTCTTAAACACAGGTCACTTTGCAAGTGTGGCCCTCTGTCCACAGATGAGCTTCAGCATCACCTGAAACATGAGTTGAGAAGCTTAAATTGCGTCCAAACTCCTCTGACCCCGAGCTTCTGCTCCCCACCCTCTGTGCCCCACCCGCTTCTCCAATCCCACCCCAAGACCTTGCCCACCTCAGAAAGACTGTGCCTCATCTCCTCAAAAACCCTGCCCACTGCCCTGCCCTCAGCAGCCCTCCCACCGCGTGGCCTAGAGAAGGACCAGGCAGCGTTCTGTACCCTGAGTTATACAGAAGTGTCTCCAGCGCAGACTGTATCTTCAGCCTCCTTCTGCTTCCCACAGTGCTCGGTGGACTGAGCCTTGGGCTGAGAAAAGGGGGGAGTGGCTACCTCCAGATTCCGGGCAAGGCCAGGAATGGAGTCTGCCGAGGCCTGTTACACAGACTGTGCACATACCCCTGACACCGAGGCAGGCGGTCTTATCTGCCCTTCAGGGACCAGGAGTCAGGCTTCAAGGTGAGTCCCATCTACCCAGGCCGCAGAGTGAGGCACAGTGCCCGACGTCTTGCTGCCACACCACCTGCCTTGCCATCTGAACTTTGGTGTCTTGTCCACAGAGTGACGCTATTGGATGCGATTTGTTTCTTCCAGCTTTTTTTTTTTTTAATCATTAATCTCATACTTCTTCACCTTAATATTTGCAGAAGTCCAGTATAAAACCACATAAATATAACATGATCTGGCTAGGTTGAGAGGGGGCCCTGCCCTTGCCCACCCCACCCCCTCACCCTGTTCCCAGCATAGGCCCTGCAGGGGTCTGAGCGACACAGCTGGAGACCCCAGGACCTGCCAGGTCCTAATGGTCTAAGTCTGGCTCCTGAGGTGTGGCCTAAGGGCACATGCAGAGGAATCCCCTGGAAGTCGGTTATAAAAACCCTTTTCTGGGTTCCCCACTTTACTTTCAAATCAGATGGGGTGTGGGGGCAGGGATGGGATGCAGAAATCTGGGATTTTAACTAGAGCCTGTGGCCATTTTTGGGCAAACTACACTTTGAGAACCCCTCACTTCGACCTTCTGGATGTGTTTTATAAAAGTAGAGAAGGAAAATATCCCAGGCTGGAGCTCAGTGCACGGAGAGAACTGAATGGGGTGAGGGGATTATGGGCAGTCGGTGGCTTCTCTGCAGTCAGGGGACATGCTGACTGTGTCTTCTTTGGATGGTGTCATGGTGGGGACCCTGTTTGCAGGGTGACCGCAGGCCATGGTGCTTGGCCTCTGTGGAGGGCCCTAGAAGGGCCCCTTCTCCTTCCTTGCCCCTACCTCCATCTTTGATACCACCTCTGCCCTCCAAGGTCACCCTTACTTCAGGGACACATCCTAGGCAGGGGAAGGCAGTGGGCACCTGGGACAGAGAGGGCCCTCCATAGGTTGTAGATGCTTGTTGTGGGGTCTCCCTGAAACCCAGTCCTAATGGGTGCTAATAGGAGGGTCTCTGGTCCTCATGTTCACTGCCCCACTCCCAGGGCCAGCACCCAGCACACAGTGGGACTCTTACTGGGGTCCTTCTCTTCTGCAAGTGTTAGGCAAGGGCACTTCACATCCTCAGCTTTCAGAGTCCCAACAAGGTCATGACATGGGGAAAGGGCAGCCGCCGTAGCATCCTCGGTGAAACCCAATCTTCCCTTGCAAGTGAGAGAGACAGTCAGTCGGCCACATGGTGGTGGGTGAGTGTTGTTCTTCCATCTGTCCTCCTTTCCTGACCAGCACACTGAGAGAAGAGGGGAGAAAGGAGCCCCAGTGTTCACCTGCACCAGGGGGCCTGCTTTTCTGAAGAGGAAACACATCCCAGCCTTCATTGATGGGGCCAACATAGAGAAGCACATCCAAAGGTGGGGCCCACTTGGGCTTCCGAGTCCCTGGACTCAAATTCTTGTCCTGTATTTATTGAGCAGTGCCAATTCAAAGCTTTGTTGCTGGTGTTTGAATCCTGGCTTTGGTGCTAATTAGCTGTGTGATCTTGGGTAAGTCACTTGATGTCTCTGTGCCACACTTTTTTTTTCTTATCAGTTTTACTGAGAAATAATTGATGGCCAATAAACTACATCCATTTAAAGTGTACATTTAAAATGTACCGTTCAGGGAATTCGGGTGGCTATATACACCTGTGGTACCACCAGCCCTGTCAGGATATTGAACATTTTCATCAATTCCAGAAGATCTCTGTGCCCCTTTGGAGACCAGACCCTCTCATTCCTAAACACAGATGACCCCTGACCTGCATGTAGTCCTTAGAGATTAGTCTTCATTCTATGTGAATGAATCACGTGTGCACTTGTTCTGACCTACTTCACTCTGTATAATGATTTTGAGATCCAGAATGCTGTCGTGTGTTTCAGCTATGGACTGAATGTTCCTGATTCCCCCCCCATTCATATGTTAAAATCTCAACATATGACGTGTGACGGTTTTAGGAGGTTGGCCTTTGGGAGGTGCTTAGGTCATAAGGTAGAGCCCTGGCATTGGAACCCCCTTAGTGCCTTATAAAAGAGGCTCCAGAGGGATTCCTAGCCCCTTCCACCTTTCAGGGATACAAGGAGAAGCCTGTGACCTGGAAGAGGCCCCCTCCCTTGAACACACTGGAGACTTGACCTCAGACTTCCAGCCTCTGGCACCACGAGAAATAAGCTTCTGCTGTTTATAAGCCTCCGCCACCCCCAGTCTGCTATTTTGCTAGAGTAGCCCTAATGGACTGAAGTTTTTTTTTTTTTTTTTTAATTTCTCGGTTGTATTTTTTTATTAACAGATTACACAAGTTTTTACAATTGGGGTTGAAAATTCAACCCCAATTGGACTGAAGTTTGTTAAAGATAAGTAGCCTGTTCATTGTTATTCCTGAATACAAACTGCAAGTCACAGTGAGATATCACCATATCCATCAGCATGGCTCAAACTGAAGGATTGCCCATCCCAAATGTTGCCAAGACTAGGGAGCAGGTCTCTCCATCCATGGCTGTGGGGATGTATAGACAGATGTCCAGCCTCTTTGGAACACCATTTGCAAGTTTCAATATACCTTCCACTGCAGCTGAAGCCACCCAGACAGCTTGGGAAATGGATGAGTTCCTGACTTTATAATGCACACAACTGGTGTTACTTAGTTTTTCTTGCGAAACTAACCGCATGTGTCTCCAGCACCCCACACAGCTCTTGCCTGGTCTTTTAACATTCCTTGGCGATGTGCCCAGTGGGGTGCTGTGTGGGCAGGGCACAGCAGTGCTGAAACTTTATAAGGGAACCATGTTACACAGTGTTTCCTTGTAGAGCTATGCACAAGACACACAACTGAAATCAAGCACATCAACTATCTGTAAATATTCCAGTCCACCCCCACCCCACAGAGTTTTCCACAGCTTTATCACTGCAGACCAGTTTTGAAGATAAAGTTAACACAAATCAAATTAGATAACATTCAAATCTTTGGAATCTATCATAGAAACACAGATGAATTTTCCCCATTGTAGCCTACGTCAAAAAGTCTTGCTCATAATTTATAATTGGCAATGACTTCCTGACACTGAGGCGGCTGTGGGTCACTCATCCAAGGACCGCCCTGTGATGTCTGGTGAGCTACCAAAGCATATCAGAATACATTCCATGCTCCTGAGATCCAGGGAGAGGTTGGGCTCCTGCCCCAACTCCAGGGCCCTGTCACCTCCTCGCTGCAGACCTTGGTCAGGACACCTTCTCTCTCTGTATGTAAATGGCTTCATCTATAAAATGGTAAAACAACACAAGAAACCAAAAGTAAATCAGACCAAAACAAAGTAACACCAGAAATCTTACCTTGCCAACAGTCTTGTGAACGCCCAGTGCGAATTATAGAAAACTGTGTGCAGGTCAGCTGCATGGTCTCCACCCCTCAAGGAGCTGTAGGTCCCTAGATGTGGTGGGTGCATTCCTGGCCAAATTCTACACTCCTCCCTGGACCCCCCCTCTGCCAGGTGACTGCTGGGCTGTCCCTAACCGCCCCCCCCCCGCCTGGGGCAGAGTGACTGCCCTGACTCCTGACCCTGGCGTGGCCATGAGATTGGCTTTGCCGGAGACATGTTAGTGAACGTGGTGTGACAAAAAACACAGGATGGACATGTGCACTTGGGTTTGGCCTCAGCCAGAGCCCCTGACCCTGTTGAAGCACACATGAGCCCAGCTGATATTGGCCAATGCCCCTGACCCTCAGACATGCAGGCTAGAATAATATGTGAGGGCTGTTGGGGTCTCGGGAGGGTTTATTACACAACAATTGCTGATTGATACAACAGGGTTATAAGACATTGCCATGTGCAGCTATATTATGAGGGAGAAAATGAGCAGGGTCCTGAGTTTCCAAAGGGGAACATATTTACCATCGAATTTAGAAATCATGGAGGAAGGATCTCTGGAGTTGCCCTTGAGGGCATGTAGGAGAGGTCATTGTGGGGAGCAGAACAGAGATGACACCCATTCTCCAGACCCAGGGCTGGGGCACCTGTGTGCTCAGCCGGGAGGAAGGGAAGGGGCCAAGAGGGAGTGGGAGTTTTTACTTCTCACTGTCTCTGAGTGCAGCCCTTCCTAGCCCTGCCCGTTGGGCAGCGTCCAGGGACGCTGGGACCAACATCCAGCACCACCACCCATGCTTAGCTGACCCTTTCCCACCCATGCTTAGCTGACACGTCACCCATAAGCAGACCATTGCTCCTGAGGGAAAGTTTGGCTTCTGGGTTTTGGGGAAAGCTGCTCTTGTGTCTGCTTCTCCATCAGCTTGATGGTTGGAGAAGGGGCTCCAGGGAGTTGTGGGGAAATCAGAAACAGGTCCAGGAAGCTGAGAGAAGACAGCCTCCTGGGGAGGAGGGGGAGGGCGCAGTGGTTCACACCAGGACACGAGTGAGAGGGCACAGGGACCTAACTGTGGCTTAGGTGAGATCGCAAAGAAGTGGCACGGTTTGGGGGTGTTGAGAAGAGAAGGGAGGACTTAGGAACAGCGTGTATAGATCATGCCAGAAGGTCGCCTGTCACAGCTGCAGGTGGTGGGATTCATCTATTCAACCAGCAAATGTTTCCTGAGTGCCAGCTCCATGCCTGCCCTCCAGCCTGCTACCCAGCACAGAGCAGAGAACACAGCTTACCCGTGTGCTCCCAGCCCAGGGACACACACTGAAAATGTGCAGTTGAGTTTGGTCACTCCTGCATGCTTACTTCTCCCTGTTCAATGGGAGGGTCTGGCAGAGCCTTTGGGAATCTCTTCCTTCCAGAAGCTGTCACAAAGCATGGCAGCATGGCAGGGACCCTCCTAAGAGAGGTGAATCTGCCTGCAAGAGGCTCGCGTTGGAGCTGCCAGGAACCCTGAGGCCAGAAGGAGCCCTGGGGACTCTGGGCATAGCTCAGTGCTGGGGGATTCTCTTAGTCAGGCCCCATCAACCCACCTCCCCACAAAGCAGACTCTAGGACAAGGGCTTGGGTATAGGTAGCTTATTTGGGAGGTGGTCCCTGGATGCACAGGTGAGGGAAGCCAGTCTGGGCAGGGAGGAGGAGGTGAAGGTGTGTCAATGAGCAGGTTACTCCTGGACTGGGTGCCACAGGTCCCTCGAAGGGACTGGGTGGGACGCATCTCAGGGTCATCTCAGTGATGGGGAAGTCTCTACTGATCCCAGGCCCTTGTTTGAGTCTTGTCGTGGGGTTGAGCGAAGCCCCAAGCAGAGGGCCTCAGAGGAGGCTGGCTCCTGCCTCCATCTCAGGGGCTGGTGGGCAGACTCCCACTGGGTGTGATGAGGGAAGCAAAGGCAAGAGAATGTAGCTTAAATTAAATCTCCTTACAGCTTGCAGCCCACTAGAGATACCTGAAACGTGCAGAGCGTGACCTTCCTCAAGGAACTCGTGGCCGCCTCAGTACCTTCATGCTTATGTTTTATTAAAGACTAGAAGTAACCTTATCTTGGCAGTAGTTGGCCCTTCAAGGTTCTGAAAGCCTTGCTTCCAAATTCCTTAGAGACTTAGAGGATCCCTAACCCCCACTAATGAAAAAGTATATAACCAGTCACTCCTCACAATCCCAGTGCAGCCTTTTCTGCCCGCGGGTCCTGTCCCTGTGCTATAATAAAATCACCTTTTTTTGCACCAAAAATGTCCCAAGAATTCCTTCTTGACCATTGGGCTCCACGATCCCACATCATCCCACATCAGGTGGAGGACCTCAGGGTGAGGCCACATGGCAACTGCTCTGGAGTTCACAGGCATGGATGCTGCAGGGCAAGTCTCGAGCTCCTTGCAAGTGGGCTGCAGGCATGGGGAGAGAGGGCTGTCACCACCCTCTGTCACTGCTGGTGGGGCATCTGGGAGAAAATTCTGGAGGTACCACATCTCTGTGCTCTTAACTCATATACTTCATTCATGAACTTACTATCCCACAGCATTGACCAGTGCCTCCCAGCTGGGGACCACTCTGGGTGCTGCAAATATCATGGAAGGAAAAACAATCTCGGCCCTTGAGAGGTCTCCATTCTAGAACAGCAACAGACAGTAAGCAGAGAAAATAAGGCCTATGTAGGAAAGCAAAGCAGAGTAGGGGCAGGAGATAGGTTCCTCTGGGCAGGTGCTGAGCCAGGCCACATCAGCAGGTGGTGGGACGAGGCTGTGAGGGTTCTAGGAACAATGAGGAGACCCCGTGTGCTGTGGGAGTGGAGGGCTGGTGGGGTAGGAAAGGGACTTGGGGTGGTCCAGGGAGGCCGTCAGAAGGACCTGGAATTCCAACCCAAGTGTGAGAGAAGCCGGAGAATTTGGGCACAGGGCTGTGTCACCATCTGTGATGTACTTTGTACTTTGTACTGTGTACTTTGAAAAGACCATGCTGCATGCTGCCAGGACACAAGCCACAGGGCAAGGGGGAGTGGAGTGACCCATTAGCTGTCCACGGCCGCCATCTGGGCTGGCGTGGAGGCGGCCTGGGCAGGGCCGGAGCAGGGCTAGTGGAGAGGAGTGGACATGCAGGGTGGAGGGACTGGGCTGCCACTAGGTGGATGGGGGAGGAGGTGGTTTGGTGAATGGGCACACCAGAGAGAGAGAGCAGCCTTGGGGGGGGGTGGGCAAAGCAAGAGTTGAGTTTGACCCTGGGGAGATGGGAAAGCCTTGAGGTATAGAGGGGAAACCAGCGCTGCTTTGTCCCACATGTGTGCTCTGGGGGGCCATGGGGAGAGGGTGGCTGGCTGCTGGGTCGCCAGTGTGCATGCAGGCACAGCCTTGGCTCTGGAGGAGGGGGGACGATGGGCAGAGGTCATCACACCATCGTGCTGGGTGGCACCCTTTCTTCTGACATGTCCACAGTTTGTGGAACTCAGCGCTCGACGGACTGTATACCCAGCATGGAGACAGCCTTATTGTTCTAGGCACAGGAAGGAAGGAGTGTGATCTTACCGAGGAGCCTGCCTGCTGGCATCAGCCATGTTGTCCCCTTCTGCCTCACAGCGCTCCTTTTGGGGCTGGGTGTGACTGACTTGCTGTCTTCCTGTTGCTAATCCTGCCTCTGCCTGAAATGGGCACATTGACCCCAAATGCTAGTGGGAATGAGATGGGGGCTGGGAAGCGGGGGCTGGTCTGCTTTGTTTCCAGGCTGTCCAGGGGCATCTAGGAATCATATAAAGAAATGAGCGTGTGAAGCTTCTCCCATGCCTGGATGAGATGGCCATTGCCCAGTGCAGCAGGAGGGCCAGGCTGGGGAGCCATGGAGAGTCTGAAGCCCAGTGGCTGTGCAGGTCAATGCTGCCTCCTCTCAGCTGGGTCCCCTCCCCCTGCGTGAGCAGCCACCGGGCCTGCTCAGCCCAGCCCCAGGAGCTGATGTCCACTTTACACGGGAGCTCTAAAGCTAAATATTCTCTCAGCCTAATGTGACCCCGGCTGTGCCCCATTTACAGATGAGAACTTGGGCCCACCGAGGCCGTGCCTCTCAGCGCAGCCTGGCAGGCAGCCCTCTGCTCCCCGAAAACCCATGTTGTCTGCTGTCTGCCTGGCGTGTACCCGGTTAGATCTGCGATCCCAGGCCCAGCCCCTGAGCTGAGTCAAGGCTCCTTCCTTCTTTTGCCCCCTCGTCTGCCTTGGCTCTTCCTCAGTCTTCTCTGTTTCTCAGCCCCGACCTGGGGCCTCTCCCCTGGTTCACCGGGTGACTGGTTTTGGCTCCAATCTGGGTTTAGCCACTGCTCCCTGGTAATGACCCCCAAAGATCTGGGACATGGTGCTTCACTCCACCTCCAGGACTGTGCAGATGTTGGTTTCACTTTAAGCTGAAGCATCTGAGAGAGGTCTGTTCTTCTGAGAAGCAGACACCAAGATGGAATTGACACAGTTATGGGTTAAACAGTGTTCCCCCGCCCCCTAAAAATTCACATGTCAGAGTCCTACCTTCCAGTACCTCAAAATGTACCATATTTGGATGCAGGGTCCTAAGACCTCACTTTGGAAGTCCCCTAACATCACCTCTGCCATTCTCTTGGCCAAGCCAATCACCACAGCCAGCCGGACTCAAGGGGAGGGAAAGAGACACTAGGGTGCAGTGACAAGTGGGGAGCATTGAGCTCAACAGATGGAAGAGGTGAGGAAGGATATGCCTACATCCAGATAGATGTACCTGGGTGTCCAGAGGAACCCCAGGGCTCCTGGGTCCTGGAGCCTGGCACCCCAGATGACCCCACGGAGCAGCGCTGCCCACCACCCTGGCCCACTGGCCTGCTAGACCTCACTGTTGTGTGGGAGAGCAATGGACTTTTGTTCTGGTGGAAACGTTGGCCTTGGGAGTCTTGTTTGAGCAGCTTGGCTTGCTCTTGAATCCATGCAGGAAGAACCACGAGGAACTGGTGCTTTAGGAAGACGAGCTTGGCAGGGCTATGGAGAGTGAATTGGAGGAGAATGGGAATAAATAGCTGGAGGATATGCTGTCTGGCTTCCCACCC